AGTTGACCACAATGATTGGAATGTAGAAATTCCATCAAGTTTCGATTCAAGGAAGAAATGGCCTCGTTGTAAAAGTATAGCGACCATTCGTGATCAATCACGATGTGGATCATGTTGGGTGAGTTATAATGATCGAATTGTTTGAAAAATGTTTACAATGTTGGCATGACTATGAATATTTCTACACATCAGTGGGTTTGTAGGAGATCTCACCGAACGTCAGACAGTATCAGAGTCATATTATCTAGAGAATTGTTTCTTTGAAAGCTGTTTGACAGCACATACGTCAATGATGAGTATCAGATCTGTGAACATAAGTCAGGTGACTAAAATAATTGACTAAACACGTCATGTTGAACTGAGATGTCTAGTAAATGTTGACCAGTCATTCCACGTAAATTCATTACAAAAATTAAAACGTCTTGATGTTGTCATTGCTTTTTTCCAGGCTTTCGCTGCTGTCGAAGCCATGAGTGATCGAACCTGCATACAGTCACGCGGCAAACAATCTGTGGAACTAAGTGCTGTGGATGTAATGAGCTGTTGTGGCGATTGCGGATTTGGGTGTGATGGTGGATTCCTTGGTCGTGCTTGGGATTATTGGGTGAAGGAAGGTATTGTTACTGGAAGTTCGAAAGAAAATCACACAGGCTGTCAACCATATCCATTCCCAAAATGTGAGCATTATGTCAAAGGGAAATATCCTGCATGCGGTGAAAAAATGTACAAAGCTCCTCGTTGTAAAAAGACATGTCAGAAAAGTTACAAAATCCCATACGCCCAAGACAAGCATCGAGGCAAGTAATGTGTTTTGGACAATGATAACAATTTATCATGAAAACGTTGACTTGTCACTAATATAGATTGATCACAATATATTGTCAGAGTTGCTTAGAAGTGATGCTTCTACATGCGTAATAATCATTTTTGATATTACTTTTGAAAGCTCTCTATTAAATGATAACAGCTTAATTTTCATCATCGTTTTATTCATCTGTTAGGTAAATTATCCTACAATGTTGCTGATAATGAATTGTCTATTCAAAAGGAAATCATGAAGTATGGACCAGTAGAAGCAGCCTTCAACGTTTACGAAGATTTTCTAAATTACAAATCTGGGGTCTATAAACATATTACTGGGGAACCAGTTGGTGGACATGCCATACGTATAATTGGATGGGGTGTGGAAAAAAACACACCTTATTGGTTGATCGCGAATTCGTGGAATGAAGATTGGGGTGAAAATGGATATTTCAAAATACTACGTGGTCATGATGAGTGTGAAATTGAATCTCACGTAATAGCTGGTCGGATTAACTAATTACACAATCTTTAAACATTAACATAAAATGTTACTTAGTGTGAAGTCATTACAAATGTATACTGAATGCTTCTGAGAAAGGTTCCCTATTCATATTATCTTTTCATTCATTTTATATTATAAATAAACGGTTGCGAACTCTAACTAAACTCTTCACTGAATAAATGTCTTCGCTAGGCGGATTCTCGTTACAAGACGTTTATCCAGATAAGCAGAGCGATTAAAAGCTGAATTATTTTAGACGAACTACAAAACCGTTGTCCATGTGTATTCCACTTACATGTTTATTGAATTGAACTCATACATTTAATGTCACAAGTTTTAATCAAATTTAGAAAACACCAACTTCAGGTATCGAATCTATTTTCAACCTGTAAAGTGGTACGTGTTTTCATTAGATTAAATGGATATTAATCACTTTCGTCTACGGAAATTCCCCCATACATTAGTTTAGACTTGTAAGTTGCATTAGATTGTGAGTAATAAAATCTTGAGAAATTGTGTAAATAGAAGTACAACTGTAGTATTTATTGATTGTCTGCTAAAATAAACAGATTGAGTGGACACACAGCATGCAACTGCTCTTGAAGATAGGAAATGTGTCATCCATTATTCTATAATAATGTGTACTTCCATCAATTGCATGCTTAAGCTTTATCTAACTCAGGTTCTTCATAAATATATCAGTCGGGATCGGGTCCAGTACCCTACCCATGGAGACTCTATCAACTTGACCGTATAGTACATTGTTGAACCGAGTGTTTACTTTTGGTACACAAGAGTGGCAGCTGCTCAGAATTACCAATTGGGAAATGAAGAGTACAGAATATTGACATACGATTCCGGTTGTTTATTCCATAATGATCATTATAAAGAGAGTAGTGACGTCGAAAGATATCATGAGTATATCAGGAAAATTTAAGCTATCAAGCCTTTGTGAAAATTCAAAACTAGCCTTCAGACTGTAGGTAGCTAACTTCTTGCAGACTGGTCCTAAACACCAGCAGATGATTTTGTGTAAAACTGATCTAATCGTAGATAATAATGACTCCACCAGGATGTTCGGTTAGCTAACTACTTGTAGTTTGGTCCTTAAAACCATGTGAACCAGCAGACGACTGTGAAAAAGTGATTGTAATTGTCTTCCGTTATCACTGTAAATTATTTCACATCATATCATACCTCAATATTACACTGTAAGCATATGAGCGGTGGTAAGCAGCTAATATTATTCATTATTATTATTATTATTATTTAAACACATACATATTGGTGAAAAGAGGTACCGAATACATATGCGCCACAAACGTAACTTGATTTGTGTGTGCGCCTTGATACTGAACAGGTACCCAGACCGGAGCATGTGATTTTCTTAAATGGCTACACTCGGAGTCTTCGACCTTAAGGTTTATTCATCAAGCAAGTGAAGCAACATTGAGAGATGCAGTTTCATAGTAACTAGTGACCAACGACTGCTCCTTGCACCAATCTCTCCTTCAGGACACTGAAGACAATCCATGTGCACCACTGTTTCAGAATCAGAGTTTTCCAACTTCCTCAGGTGCACTCTTTGTGACCACCAACTTGGTAAAGCGATGGACTTTCAATTTTCGTCTTCCTGATTTCGTAAACAACATCCCAAACACGAGAAGGCAGTGTGTAAGACTTCTCCGGCAGTGGTTGTATGGACGTGGAAACTTGAGAGCATTTCGAGAAGAAGAGCTGATTCCCCCTAGTCGCGGCCGAACCCGGTCACTAAGGGTCATTTGAGAGTTAAATAAGCATACGAGTATGCAACCGTAAACTTCCTCATTAAAGTTTCTGAATTATTACTTGTTTACGGTGAACACTAGTATCTTATCCGTCATTATCGTGTTACGTTCTAATATTCATTTAACGAAACATTTTAATGTGATCAAGATTATCTCAAAATAAACGTATATATTACTGAGTTATGAAATTCTATTAATTTCCATCCAAACTAACTGGCACGATGTTTATAATGGAATGAAACGTCCAATAACTGATATTTTCGTACCTTCCAAACATATCAGAATTCTAAAAAAATTCTTTAGTGATTGATAAATTTCTTTTCAAATGAGTACTGTGAAAACAGCTGATATTACTTTGGATTTATTGTCTTGTCACGATGAAATGCCTTCAATCTAACAGAGAGTGTGAAACCCATCATTGATTATACAAGAATAAATTTGTAATTGTTATAAGGTTCCACTTGAAATTTGTGTTGAGGATAACTGTTAGGGGTTGGTGAGTATTCTACGCTTATGTCAAGTAGATTATCTAGAACCTATCCTACACAAACCATGTTGGCATCACCGAAAGATGACTACCATCTTCTTTCATCTTATACACCAAAAGATCAGTCTTGGCATCGGTTTAATTCCAAATTGATGAACATGTTGAGACTTTAATGGTAGAATAAAAACACACCAATGACGCATAAACTACTTCATGCGTACAGTTTTCTCAACGACAAAACGATTTTTACAATTGAATGATCATTGGGCAGTGACTAATGCTATGTATTTCATGTCCTTCTTCGTGTTAATCGAATCTTATCAGCAAATTTGAATTGTAGCTAATTAGTCTAGGTGACGCTACATCGCTTGCATTATGTCGAGATGTGAAGAGGTGGTTAGAGATAACGATCGATTTAAGAGCCAACTGTGCTTAAAACAATCAGTTCTCTTCATCATCATATCAAAATACGCCAATAAATTGAGAATTTTCCGTGTTAGTTAGGTGACCATCTATAAGAACATAAGTAAAGTTCTATGTAAGTAACTCAAATTCAAAACTTTCGTAATACTTATCTTACAAGTTTAGTTCTTATTCAGGACTTCCTTTCATAGCATATATATATATATGTACATTATCTATTCAGTCCATTTATTTAAACATTCAACATTGGTACAAACATAATAAAAACGCATATTTTCTTCCGCTTCAATGTCTGTGATTGAAAAAATACAGCTTCTTGTTTACCGCATCGACCACATATATGATCTTCTGTTCGAGGCAGTGTTGGATCATGAACAACATCCGGTACAATTAAAGCCAATTCACTTTAGATGGATAAAAGAAATACTATTTTATTTAAAAAAATTAACAGGAAAAGTTTATAATTTAAAGTTGTACATTTCATAATACAATTTTACACTGACAAGACTATGAAACTGCTAGTGAGTATACCTCCGCTGGTCTAACTACCCTGTTGGCAGAACATAAATTGTATGAAATCATGCTCAGTGCACGATTGCTTTGGCGAACGCTGATCGGTTGATTCCTATCCAATCAGTACTTGTCGATACTTGGAGAACACTCTATGATCTTCTCATGTTAAAACAATAAATATACTAACGTTTTTCCTACTGTGCTTCTTACTTCCATCATTATCCATTCTGTCAAGCAACAAGTAGCATAAGGCACGATTCCCCCATTCTATCTTCATCTGACAGCAACCGGTTCCTCCACCCATCACTTGAGGCAAACATTTTGTGAACTGTGAAAACGTTTCTGGACTTGATGTGGCTAGTGGCAGAACAGTAAAAAGATTTTCCTGCATGCCCTCAAATGCCCTGGTATGGTCGCGAGTGGGCAGAGTCAGCTCTCCCCCTCGAAATGCTTTCACATGGCCACGTGTCTATAGCCTCTGTCAGGGAAGTCCTACTCACTGCCTTCTCGCGAAGGAGGGTGTTGTTTACAGAATTGAGAGGAAAAAAGCGAATGTCCAGCGCTTTATTTGGGTTGGTGAACACACAGTCCACCTAGGAAAGTTGGAAAACCCTGATTCCAAACCAATGGTGCACATGGGCTGGCTCTAGGAACCTGTAGGAACCAATGGCGTATGAACATATTATTGGTGACCGGCTACCATGGGATTGCATCTCCTGACGTTGCTCCACCACCTAGTTGATTAGACCTACAGGTCGAAGGCCCTCTGTTTCAGTTTGGGTACCCGGCAGTATCCCAGGCCTAACACAAATCCAATGGTTTATGTGGAGCATATCTATTCCGTGCCTCTTTGTGCCAATGTTTATGTGCTAAATAAATAAATTATTCTACGTATATCGAAAGCCGATCTTTGACATCTTTGAAACCATCAAGACAAAACTTTGCATTCATCAACAACATATTAGTGTAAGGAATCCTGAGTTACACTATTTTTATGCTTTGACATTAAAGAGACCATGATTTTTGAGTGACCGATATTTCACTAACAATCTCTTTGGTATTTTCGAAACCATCATTATTGGATGAAAAGCGTTGAACTGTCATCATATGATATAGTGAGGCGGTATGACATGACTGTGCAAAGTTAACAGATAATGGGGCAGTATGGTCAGTCAGGTGGAGTCTCTGAAGTTGTGAAACTAAGTAACTTGAGACTCCATCAGTTGATGCAAAATAGAATGCAGAGACGAACAAGTTAAACAAATAATATGATCCATCTCGGAATTGCACTAGGCATTGGTTATATTCACACTAGAATCCCGTCACTGTCAAAATAGTGGTCATCTGAAGCGATTTCTTCTCGTCTAAATACATTGAAACTACTTTAACAAGACATGTGTGAGTAAAATATCATATCATAGGAATGCTAGTAAGTAGAACAAATAAATAAAAACGACTCAAAACAGTGGTATGGATACTTACTCAACTTCCTGTTCCAGTTTGTTGATATAAACACAGGGATTGTCTGCTTCCTGGGAATAATCACAGTTACGACATGCGTAGTATAATGTTTTTGTACGCTTATCCTCTTTAGGATACAACATGTTGTTGCATTCACTGCAGAACAAAATCCCAACATGACACTGGCTTGATTTCACATCATACTAAAATGTAAGTTAGAAAACGCTATCAGTAGAATATTCTGAACATACGGTTTCCATCTTTACTAAATCAATCCTTCAAGCGTACTTCTCGAAGAGGCTAGAAATTCCAATCAAGTAACTACAAGATTAATAAATCAGACGACCACAATTTATATAACTAAACTGCGAAAATTGACAAGACATTTGATAAACACCTAGTAATAATATAAATAATTTATTTGATAAAGTCAGTCAGTTATAATCAACGTAAAATCTAGTATATATATGTGCGTCGGTTCTAGTTGTGACACAAAATTAGCGGTGAGGTAAAATTATCATGAGAAATCCCATTGTAGTAGTAGTAGGAAAAGATGGAATAAGATTTCGGAGTTCAGGAGCTAAGAGAAGATAAATAGTGAATGCATTTGCGTCGCTCAGGATGATTTTGATCCCTGTCACCCAAAATCTCTAGCTATTGATTACAATAAATGTGTGAACACCAACCTACTTGGCTGTTAGGCAGTTAATGATTTCATGGACTAATACAACGTTTTAGTTTCGCTACCCCAAATTTTTATCCAACCGGCTTTTGCACTAAGCAACATCGCACCCCAAGGTAGGCAGTAGTTGTGAGTACGTAATACATATTCCAAATACTCCGGTTGACCAATATTCACTGCCTTAACAGCCGATGTCCGATGCTTATTTCTAAAAGGATGTCTATGACGAGATTAAATAAAATGCAGAAAGAAGGGAGTTCTGAACAACATCGCCTAAGGTTGTCGATTCTCATGACAGCTACCCATAAGCTCTAACTCAATCAGAATCTTGAAAGCAAACAACCTGTACAAGGTTGATATACTCCTTTGGTACGCTACTCAATGTCAAAAGGCAGGGGTGGGGTTAAAAAGGTCGACCCTAAAAATGCATACCTCGCTTTATCCCACGGATATCCGTCTCCCGGGTAAGGTCTCAACAAGTACGGAGCTAACACAAAAATTACCCATGAAAAGGTCGTATGTGACCGACCTCAAGCAGTTGTCCCCTGGACACTGCGGTCACGCTCTCAGGTCACTAAGACCACCCCTAATCCAATTTCATTTCTAGGTACCTTTAGAAGAACCCTCCCACGGTGTGCGCGACCGGGAAGTGTAAACCGCCCTCATACCTCTGACAACACTCAAGACCACTGTATTCATAATCAACCTCCTTCTTCGAAACACGCATACAGAATCCTAGTGTCGTCATTCAGTTGACCTCACCTCGGCGAAACCGAGAGCCAACGAGACACACCCTCCACGTATCTGGTGACCCGATGGCCAGTTCTCGTGCACTGACCGGTGTAGGCAGCCGTTCATGTGCTGGTCGGCTAAACGGCTCCGTAAGAACTCGGAAGGATAGGAACACACGTCGTTGACTTTTCTTCCATTATGGCTACGCTACCACCGACTGCAAGATTGAAAAACGAATTTTACAGAAAGCTATCTGAAATTCTTCAGAAAGCTAAACGTTCAGACATAGTACCCACAGGAGGTGACTTTAATGCACAGATAGGTAGTTTAAACCAAAAAGAAAGGCATTTAGGTGGATATTTTAGTATTCTGGTTCAGCGAACAGATAATGGTGATCGTCTGCTGCAACTATGCTCGGACAATCGTTTATTTTTAGCAAACACAAATTTTAAGCATAAGGAGAGACATTGTTTAACATGGCGACCCTCTACACCAAACCAACGATGGACTAAAATAGACCATACTGCCATCAGTCATCGTTGAAGAGGGTCGGTAGAAGATTGTCGCTCATTCTGGAGTACCTGGTTGGACTCCGACCATGCCTTGTTACGCGCACGCATCTGCTTGCGCCTCACTGGACGCAGAAAAGCCACAGTAAAAAGACCCGTTAAAACTGAATTGAGTAGCGAGAAAACCAAAAGTAGGTTCCAGGAACAACTGAGGTCTCACTAAGGTAGTTCTGAAAACGAGGCTGACCCAGATGTTGCTTGGAAAGATATACAAACAGCTGTGGAAACAGCAATGAAATCTATTAGTGACTTGAATCACAGAGTTACAAAGAACCAATGGATTTCTTCAAAGTCTATCACACTGATGGATTCTCGCAAACTCGTTCCATCAGGTTCCGAACATGATGAAGAGCGTAAACAAATCAGATCTAGGTTAAGAAAAAGTCTAAGGAACGACCGTGAGCAGTGGTGAGCAACGAAAGCAAAGAGATGGAAAGGGCAGTGGCTATAGGGAACAAAGGATAGCTCTACAGACTAATAAAAGAAGGTGGAATTACTAAGTCAAGTGTAAGTCAGACTATTTCGGAAAAAGACGATACTCTCACCTGCTCCCAGTCCAGACGTTTAGAACGATGGGCGGAACATTTTGGAGAACAGTTCAGCTGGCCTTTAGCTATTCTACAACTACCCTTTATTCCCAGACAATGTGAATGGAACATTGAAGTAGGTCCCCCAACCCTAGCTGAAGTCCAAAAGGCTATAGTTAATCTGAAACGAGGAAGCGCAGCTGGTCCAGATGGATTGGCTCCAGATAATTTTAAGGATGGTGGTCCAATTTTAGCGATTAGGTTGACTAATATTTTAGCTAAAATCCGAAAGTTAGACGTTATCCCATCTAACTGGTCGCAATCACTTATCGTCCCAATATATAAGAAAGGGTCAAAATCATCCTGTGACAAGCACAGAGTGATTTGTTTAACTAATAAAGTATCTTAAATACTAGGCTCGATAATTATCAGGTGCCTAACTAAGACTCGTGGACTGCAAACACGAGAGAACCAAGCTGGCTTCAGACCTGGTCGTGGCTGCATCGACCACATATTCACCATTCTTCAGGTTCTAGAACACAGGCATTCTTATCGACGTCCGATGATGGTGGTCTTTCTTGACTTCTAGTCTGAGCCATGTTGATAGATGCAGACTACTTGGTTGGGGTCAGCGTGACTATCGTAACCAAGGGTTGGAGACTCCTGGTGACATGACTCAGAATCGATCACAATGTCGTAGGTATATACACTCCCTGTCTTCCCTTAAACTAAGAGATTAAAATCACTTCATATCTTTCTTTCTACGAACTAATTCTTTCTTCCTGTAATACACTTTATATGCAATCTTTCTTCTATATATTACCCACATTGAAGTAAACACGTCTATGAATCCAGTGTTCATTTTGCTGTGATAATGCGGTATGGCAACTTGGACCGATGCATATATGTGCCTGGTCCTACGTTGTAGCTGACTGACTGACTGACTGACTGAGATATTCCAGACAATCAGCTTTTTACTTCAAAAATGCCTTATCACCAGAGACAGAGATCAGTGAGTAAGGTATAAAATTTCTAGAGTTGATCTTTACGAACTCTCACTTTTCGTTGTGAGAAAGCAGAATCGTTGTAAGTGCTAGTTTCCTGAAGAAAAAATCAACGGCTATCAGACTACTGTACAGTCGGCAGTACAAAATCACCTTCGAACCTTAATCTGTTTGGTTTAGTCTTACCGTTCTCCAACCGACATGCATAGCATGGCAAAATCTTTAGAACTAATGTCCTAGGCAGCATAGAACGACTGTATCATTACAGTAGGTAAGGCTGGCTACCACACCAAGGTAGCGGCTACGGTTGTGATATTTGATGAATTTTACACCTTTGCTATATTTACTTCATATACGTCCAGTGAGGGATTCACCAAGAGCATGAGGTGATTTAGTATTCCAGACCTTTGACAGTGCATCATATTACAGATTTAGTGGTTGAACTTACAAAAGCAAGTGAGTTTTCTATACAACAGAATGTCATTCTTCCATATCCTTGAATCGTCTGTATTTTTATTACAGTTGTTTGATGATCTAGTTAGGATATAATGATTATTTGCAATTAGTACCTACAATTGTCGACTGCGTAGCAGGGTAAACTTTAATATATTCCGAGAGGAAAGTTACTTACATAACCAAGTCATAAATGAACCGCACACTGATTGACATAAACAAGTCACCAGAAACAGCGGTTCATCACATCAAGTTAATATGTTTCATAACAACATTTCCTATAAAAAATCCGGAGGACCAATACATGTATGATTTTTAGTGACTGATAAAAGTTTCAGAAAATCGGATTCCTTTACAACTTTTTCTGTAGAATATTTATGATATATAGGGTGGAAGTTTTGGGACTTTTGAGCAACATACAATGAACCAAAACTAAGTTAAACAGTACTAGTATTGTGGATTGTGAAATCAGAGAGTAGAGACTTATATTCACAAAAGAAAGGAAAATCTGGCGAGACTATAGTTTGTGGACGAACCAATCAGGTATAAGACAGCAGATCTCGGATTTTCCACGAAAGTCGTTCATCTATTTGGCTAAAGAGAGTTTTTGCATTATAGCTGATGTCAGTTCGTGATGAAAACCCCATATATAATTAATAACTAGGGCAACTTATGACAATTATTGCGAACTGGATAATAAAAGCATCGGTAACACTGGTTGCAGCCAGGTACTACAATATATACGGATGATTAGAAACCGTACAGACTCCTACATATGCTTGGTTATGTGCATCGTGTCGTTATCCACAAGTGGCAATTTGTGTACTCGGCAACCGGAGTGCACACAAACAACATTGAAGCTATGTGGTCGAGGCTGAAAGTTTTTGCGACCTTATCATTGCCCCAGAGTCCCATTATTCTGTAGCCATTGACTCATTCAAGAGAAGAATAGACACTCACAGAAGCATATGAGAAAAGAAATAACACGTAAATATTGGTACAAGGAGCGCCAATACATATGCCCCTCACAAAACAATGAGAATTCGAAGAGAAAGAAAAAAGGTAAGGAGCATGAAGAAAAAGAGAACAATAACAAGACGTTTGGTGTTAGGTAGTGTAGTAATAATAATAGTAATAATGAGGGAACGGAAAGGTACAGTCAGAAGAATTCTTTCAGTTAAGGAATATACAACCACTTTTCACGAAGAAAGTAAAAGAAGGTTACAGCAGGTTCGCCATTGGCTCCTATTCTTAGCCATATTTGATAACGTCTCTAGCCACTGTGTATCATCATGTCTCAGACCCCAACCAGGGGGTCGTGAAGGACCAACACAAGCCAGTCCTTTTCAGCTTTCTTCATACCACGACACCATGTCATACACTGACCACCTCTCCGCTTTCTCCAACCAGCCCCAGAGTCGGCAAATAATGCACGACGTGGAATTCTCTGGGACGACATTCGGAGAACATTTCAAAGCCACCGAAGTCGGTGTTTCAAGATGGTGACACCAATTGAATTATCGTCTCTATGTCCGAACACACGATGCCGAACCTCTGCATTACTGACATGGT